AAAAACACACACATCACCCCAGAGAGAACACACAGAGACACGAGAGGATATTATGACATCAGTATTGTGCATCATAGGCAGGCTGTTTATTTCTTAAGGACATAAAAGCCTTGCTGATTAAATCAAAGCTTCAGGATGCCAGCATCCTGTTTTTGACAATGGACAGCCAGCTGCTTCTGTGAAAAGCTTGGAACAGGGCACTGCAGTCTGTAGCCTTCATTAATCATTCCCTCGTCTTCACCAATTGTTATCTGATGGAATCAAGCACTGTCTCTAATAATGCAGGTTAAATTAAATGATGGTGCTCTGACGAACACCAGGGAGAGTACACTGATTTGACCAATACCCCCTCCCTTCTAAAATGTACTACCAAACTTCACACCTGTGTTGGCTGAAATGTATGAGGGCTGTAGCTCAACATGTAAGCATGAAGCATGAAGAGAAAGAAAAAGAGATGCTTACCTGAAATCACTGCCTATTCTTTTGCCCCGATCTGGAATCCCAGGGTCCGGACACATGTTATGTCCCTGGGATGCACCAACCTGTGTTACTACAAAGCAAAAAAACAGCATATACAGAGGTAGAATAGAAGACAAATATATATCTGTATATCTATATCATCTCAGTGTTGGTGATGCAAAGAAAATGGAAAATTACAAGTTGGAATTCACTGAGTAAATGTTATCTGTTCCCATTTTCCCACCCATCAAAACATCGGCTAAAGACTGCTCCTTAACCTGCTGCACTGAAAGTGCATTAGGTTACAGCTGGTTTGGGATTATGGGAGTTGTGGTCCAACACATCTCAAAGGTGCAGATTGAGGAAGGGTAAGTTATGGGCTATGTGAACTATCAAAGCCACCCAGCTCAGAAATAGCATTTTGATTGATGATGAAAACTCAGATCCCTTTCACCCCTCCCCCACCCAAATTCTCAGCTGTAAACCACTGAATCAGACACCTCAAAATATTCCCAAAATGTTGCCCAAATTGAAAACTTGTTCCCCAAGCCAGCTTGTAAAAAAAATAAGCCCTGAATGCAGAATTGTATGTAAATCCCACAATTCACCATCTGGCTGATGTTAATGAAAGGCAGTAAGTTAAATAAAAAGCAGTGGAAGATGACAACCGAGATATGTAAGGGAGGATGACAGGAGAAGAGGACAGAAGCCAGTTTGGGTTCACAGTTGGCGATTTAGTTTCATTGTGCAGGACCTGAAATGGAGTAAACCCTTTTCCATTAGAAGAGGGAAAAGAAGCATCAGACGGAGCCAAAAGGATAGCACGCCACCCATCAAACATAAGGCATTCCAGAACTATTCTCAAATGGCATGTATCCAACTAGGAGGAGATCAGATCTGAATAAAAATGGATTGATTTCACTTTCACGTTCAGTTTTTTGTTTTTTTACATCATCCTGTCAACAAAATGGTAAAAACGGGCTTCTTTTATTTCAGTCTGTAATTTTCCCTGTCCTTTTTGCAACGGCGTGGTTGAAAAATACATGGCAGAATTCTCTGGGTGAGCAGATTGACAAAGAGAAACATGGAAGTGCGCAGCGCAGATTTCGGGAGCAAGGAGAATTTAGAAAGGTCAGTGAACATTTTATCCCCACCGTGACCGGTTTGCATCAATACTGCCTCTAAAAGGCTGGAGGTGTCCATGGCAATTATCAAGTAGTGAAAAGGACAAGTCTACTTCATAGATGACTCAGAACTGAATCCCCTTTAAGGAAGCAGTAATATACTTGCTTATAGGTGCCCTTGTATTAAAATCAGCCAGGATCTCTTTAGAAGAGGATTCCACCGCAGTCTGCCACACATCATAATACCTGAAAGGATGGGATCAGGACCTCCATAAGAGAAACTGAGGCTGCAAACCTTGTGAACTACTGCTTGGGTTCTAACTCTAGAGGCCTCTTACAAAATTCTACAGACTTCAGTACTTGCTTTTTTTTCCCTAGCCAAAAAGGATCAAGAACACAACCATTTGTTGCATTGCACTTTTGAGGGGTATGTGTAATAATATTGGGTGTACGCCTAGGAAACAAGTGTGGAGTAAATCAAGCAACAGTACAGTATTAATCCCCGTTTTCGTGTAAAGCCTTTTTTCCCCCCTGAAAAATTAGATGCATTGTTAACCACATGACTATAGTCAAAACTATATGTATTCAAATAATAAAGAGTCATTGTATCACAATATTTTTGCTTCATCACAATATATTTGCTCCGTCTCCATTCACAGCCAGTTTGGGGAACTAACCCTGTGGGCAGTGGTGGGATTCAAATATGTGAACAACCGGTTCTCTGTGTGGATGCCGCTTCCAGAAGTCCATTCTGTGGCTGGGCAACCAAAAATTAGCTACCGGTTCTGCCGAACTGGTGCAAACTGGCTGAATCTCACCACTTCCTGTGGGTCACCCACCCATCTTTTGGTTTCTTTCATGAAATGGAGATGGAAATCTACTCTTTCAACATGCGTGATCACAGGATGATGCTCAAAAAACTGTCCACAGAATATTTCCATATTGAAATTGTCAACTACTGCAACAAACTCAACACAACCTTATGAACCACAATTATAAGTACAGCACCTTCTCTCTTAAAAAAAATCACAGAGATAAATGAACTTGCTAAATACTTTTTGGAAGAGCTACTATGCAAATACCCCACCATTCATACAGGAGTGGGGTCTCCCCCAAATGGAGACTCTCCTATATTAAGGTCCAATTAACAAGGATACTCCTGCTACTTGTTTCTATTAACTGCACATTAGGAGGAATGTAAATTATGAAACAAAAAAAAATACAGAACAAGGCATTATTGACAAACTAAACCTGTGGACACAGCAATGGGGTACAGGAGCAAGATACGATAGATACTATTTTTCAGGCACATTTTTACATTTATTTAATCAACCGTTAAGAATACTAGGTTACCAAATTTAATATTTAATATTATTGACATTTGCTTATTACAATCATGCATACACTAGCATATCTAAGAATAATACATCAGTATAAGTAGTTCAGAAGATTTAGAGAACTCCACTTCACCTTGATTATGGTCTTTTTCTCTGATCATTATGGGACAGGGACAATTAACCAACCTGGCCACTTGCAGGGCCAATTCCAACTAGGTTTGCTGTCGACTTCCAGGATCCATGGATGAATTAAATAAACAGGGTCCATTGTTACTGTAATTTTGCTATGGAGCATCTGCAAGAAAACAGCCAAGCTCAGAGAGCACCAAGGACCTCACAGTTTTGCTATTCTCTACCTATCAGCACCTCTGGATTGCAGTGGTATTGGAGGTGAGGAAGACGTAGGATAGAGGTCCGTAGGATCTTCATGACTCCTTCACATTCAAGGAGGCTTTATTTTTCACTCAGTAAGGATAGAGGTAACAACCTTGGTCTCCTGACTCTCAAAAACAAGAGCCAGTATTTGAATCCAACATCTCTTTGCTAACTGCAAATGCAGCATTGCTGTCACTAAAATCACCTCAGAAGAGGAAAACAGATGGGAACTTAATAATTAGCAATTAGAAGCTTATTGCAAAGGAGGAACAAATTAATGTACCTTAACTTTTTAAATAATTCTTAAAAATGTAGATTTTTTTTCATTGCTAAGTTGTCAATGCCCATGGGAATGAAGTTTCATCTTTTCCTCCCTTGCTGCAGAATTAAGGAACCCCCCCCAGTTTTCTGAAGCTAATTTATGCATATGGGAATGAAATTAATTCATATCCCTTGAACTTCCATATTTTAGACATCTCCTCCCAATGCAAATGCTAGCTTCAGAGGACAAATAGAGAAGCAAAGAGGTATAATCTTTGTTGAAACTTGTTGCTGTCATCACAATTATCAGTCCTTTCCTAGGCTGATTTTTTTGTATTTTCTTTTAAAGCATCTTCAATGCAATCGCAACAACAACAACAATCCACCTTCTCTCAAGAAATCTCATATTAGGAAGACGTTCTAGAGTTTATCATTATGAAGCAAAAGAAGAGTAGTATCTCTCTCTGATAGCAGAGAGAATATACAGAATAAGGGTCACAAAGCAGCTTGAATTCAGGTCCAGGCAGGTTTTAAAGCCATATTTTGTTGATGCACAGAAGGTGTTTGGCCTGCAAAGTTGAAACAAACTACTAGGTAGATATCAGAATTCTTTGCCCACAATATATCAGACTGTAGATTCTCACTAACTCAAATCCCACCCCGCAAAAATGTTATGATTTTATTATGTTTGATTCCCTCCCACACCTTCAGGGTTTGAATGTTCCTGCTGGCAGTGCTCATAATGATACAATGGTACAATGAATGACATGATAGTACAAGAAAATAGTTGACACTCTCTGCCCCACATTCATTAAAGAGAAAGAATGGAGAAAACAGTTGCTCAATATGGTAGAGTATCAAATGAATGAAGAGGTATTAAAGAACTTGTCTGTTAAGTTGGACCTCCAGATAGCGTTGTGTGAATATCAAAGGTCCGAGGTCTTTAGAAACAAGAGTGCTTTTATTTAGTTATCCATTTACACCTCTTAAAAAAAATAAGCGATACAAATTTGTACTTGTCTTTAAATGCAACTAATTAAGGTTTCATTGTCTGATGCAATAATATATTTCAGATACCACGCATATCTTTGCCAATTATCTTCCCACCATACCTACCCTTGATAAAAGAATTTTTATTGATCTGGGTTTTTTTTTATGGCAACTAGTTCAGATTTGATTGAAAAAAATCAGCTAAAAGATAAATAAGTTCTTTATTGTTTGGAGATGAAGCATTTTCATGTAAAAGAAAACAAATCTCATTGTAAACAGATTGCCTTTGATCCATTATTATTACCGACATTGTTGCTTTTTAAAAATGTCTGGCAGAAATACAGCAAAACACTTTGAAAAGCCAAAGGGACAAGTTACTAACAAACAGAATATTTCTTCCCAGAAACAAGACCGTTTCTTTAACGAAGTATAGCAAAACTTTTTATTCACCATTTTAAAAAAAAACAAAAAACAATTGCAGAACTTTGAGAATTAATCCTACCAAGACAGAATGCAGAATCAGGTATTCATATAGAAATAAAATTAATGCCACAAAAGGAAGCAGAATCAGGCTAAATGTAGCACCACTAAAATAGGCACTTTCACATTGTCTGTGAAACATGTGGGAGAATATAGAAAACATGGAAACATTTCAAAATATTTTACTTTCCAAAGGAAAAGTTACTTTAAAAAAAAAACCAAAACAAAAATCCACCCAGAATCGTTCCCTTTCCTATATTTCAAGATGCCCCTTCTGAATTCACAGCACTCTTAAATAAATTCATACACACATAGCATGAAAAATCCCACCAAATCACTTTGACATTATCTGCCCAGAATGCATGAGATGGTACGGAACTGTTCTTTCTATGAAACAAAAAACGATGAAAAAAGAGAGGGAAATGCAAAAAAAATAAAATAAAATAAAAAATCAACTGATTCATCCACTATCCAAGATTTGAACAAATTCTATCTAGTGAAAGCAGACAGCATAACCAAGGTAATTCAATAGCTTCAAGAAAAAATGCCATTCTTTTTCAGAAAAGGATCCCACTGAATACAGAACGGTATTAAGCAGCACATGTCATCCTTGGAAATTCTTGCAGGTAATCACAGCAGGCTAATCAGTTACCTCCTACCTAAAAAAAACCCGTTGCTTCCAGTAGAGATATTTGCAATCTTTAGGCTAATGCTCAGGTAGCTTTATTACAACACAGAGTCAATTTCAGACAATCACTGTGGGAAGAACTGCAATGCATTAACCTGCATGAATACTGAATTTCCAGGATCATGTGAGATTGAAGCTTAAGAGGTAATGCTTGATTTATAACCATTAGTTTAGTCATCATTTGAAGTTACAGTGGCACTGACAAAAGTGACTTATGACTGGTCCTTGCATTTATAACCACTGCAGCATCCCAAGAGTCACATGGTCAAAATTCAGGCACTTGGCAACTGGCATGGATGTGACAGTTGAGTGTCCCTGGGACACGTGATTAGCATTTGTGTCTTTCCCAGTTGGCTTTCAACAAGGAAAGTCAATGGGAGAAGCCAAATTTGCTAAGAACTGTACAGTCCACTTAAACAACGGCATCCAAAAATGATGTAAAATCAGGCATGAATCATTTAACAACTGCCTTACTCAGTGACGGAAGTTCTGGTCCCAATTGTCATCATATGTCAAGGTCTACCTGTATTGCAAACGGAGACCAGATACTTTAATTTTCTTGTGAAGGAAAAAGGAAGAGAATTACACATCAACCGGGTCCCACTATGTTGAATGTATCTTGAACTTTCGCCCTGTCTGAAATGAAACGTGGTGCAATATCATAGGGATGATAATATATTTAACAGGGCTAATGGTATGGAGTTTTAAATACTTGTCTTGAGTAGCTGCCCATCCAGAATGCCCTATTTCTGAGCAATTTCTGCAGTTTTAAAAATGACTTGCTGGGGATAACTGGGGATATGCCATTTTCTTTTCCAGAAGTGACATAGGAGACACCTGTATAATTTTCTTCTGCAATCAAATGACATATTTTATCTGTCAGCGCTTGTGTGCATGCAGGCATATATATATATAGGGAAACTCGGATGGTGGCCTACAGTGCTCCAGTCTGGATCATAAGAGGAGGTGGGAAGAGGCTTACCAGCATTTTGAGCTGTGACCCAATAAAAATATATATATTGGTGATTTTTTTCAAAATTCTTCCACTCCCCAGCATTCAGTTTGAGCCAAACCAGGGATGAGCAACTATGGCCCCTTTATGAGTTGTGGCTCAGGAATTCTGAGAGCTGAAGACTACAGGTGGTAAAAGACCACAGCTGACCACCCCTCGTCCAGACCATTTTAAATTTTAATCTTTCATTTCAGTCTGTTCCTGGTTCAGAGAATGATTATGTCGATGGACAGATAAACAAATGCTCAGAGTCCTGACCCGTTTTATGTAATTTCTTTTCAACAATCTGTCGGTCGGCTTGGAATAAAAAATAATAATTTGCTAGGTGGCACAAGGCAAAGTGTGCCATTTCCTAAAACACAAAAAGCAAAGCCTGGTTGGTTACATATTTAATCTTCACTTCTCAGCTTTTGTTAATCTGATTTTTCAACCACTATGAAAACAGCAATAAGCTTGCTAAGCATGTGTTTTGTTTTCTTCACTGTCATAAGCCAGTATGCAAGAATGCTATAACTTAAACCAATCTGTTCTAGGAATTGTCCACAGGGATTCAGAAGCAAATCACGTTCGGGATATGGCTAAGATGTCATCTCAGACAAATTTATCCTAATCTAAATATGTTGGCAAAGCGTTTCAACTGGTTTTAAAATATTCTCAGCCAGAAAGCACTTTCTGAAACAATTGATTATAATTCTTCAGTCCTTGAGTTTTTTCCCCCAAATAATCTTTTAAAGTTGCATTTGAAAAGCAGTATCTAGGAAAACAAATCATAGTCTTGAGGGCCGCGCCCTCAAGACTTGGCTGTTTCAGCAGGCAGGACTGGCCTAGGGGGTATTTTAATTGGTTTTAACAAAATTTTAATAGAGCGGCCAATTCAAATATTTATTTTTAATTATTTTAGATTTGTATTGGGTATTTATGTGGGATTGTTTTAAACTGGCTGTAAGCCGCCCTGAGTCCTCCGGGAGAAGGGCGGGGTATAAATTTAACTATAAAATAAAATAAATAAATAAATAACTGAACATCAGTTTTTTTTCATCCAGTTAGAAACGCATGAAAGTTTCTGTCAACCAAATATTGTATCTTTTGCTAAACATGTGTTATTAATTTTCAGAAATTCAATAAAAGACACAGTTATAACCTTTCTGTTTGGATTCAATGCAAACAATAATCGTGTAATCATTACTCATCTTATATATAGGTCAAATCACAAGTACGACTTCCATCAGCATGTGAGGCTTCAAGACTTAATTTGCTTGTTTTATTTTCAACACCTATCTGGAAATATTGATAAAAATAATAACAAAATATGACCAGGAAAACAGATTGCCAGCTGCATCAGAGAAAACATTTAAATATTTCCTTTCTACACTAGAAATGGTGAGAATCAGATGTCTGCAATTTCTGTAAGGGGAGAAAGAGTTGATTTCAAGTCTCTAATATCCTTCATACGTAACTGCTTCTCAAGGATCCATTCTAGAAAACAGAGTTTCCCACACTTCCATTGGTTTGTTTGCTCAGTTTACTAGTGACATAGTGAAACAATGATTCCATGCTTTCTTGCAGGTTCTGCCCAAAGAGACTGATGCATATTAAATATCTTTTGTGTGTAACTAAAACAAATTCCCTTATCAAGGCCAACCTTTGCTGCGGCAGTCGGAAAGGTGACAGTTGCAGAAGAGGCACTGCTGATTCAACATCTGGATTCAACAGTTCAGCCACACCAAGATGCAATAGAAACATGACAAGGGTGAACACAATGGGGGCAGAGGAACATGTCATTAGAGAGGGAATAGAGATTTATTTGGTCTGAATCCATATGCAAACATGCTGATGTTTTTGATGCTATGTAAGAACTTATTTTATTGGATAGTCATTTGCAAAAAGTATGCATGCTAGAAAAAGCACACACCCCTCCCCTTCCCCTCCTCTCCATCTGAATTATAGCACAGAAATAGCCACAATATTTTGTGTCCCTCCCCAAACAAACTGATACAGAAATAGAGGGCAAGGAATAAATCTACCGGTATTATCAGAGAAAAATAATCTGACTAAAACTGAGGTCAATAGATTTGCTCATTTCCGCATGCTACACATGTCAAAACTTCATTGCAAAATTCAAGGCTTAAATTCACTACAATACAATATTTATTTATTTATGTTTATATATCAAACTTCTCAACCACCCATCCCGCTCACAGAAGGCTCTAAATTCAACAGAAGCTATGGTGAAGAGGCTGCTTATGAGTAAAAATTGTTTCCCCCAAATCAAAACCATTAATGGGTCCACAATTGGTTATCACAACCTTGTGAAAGGAAGAACCCCAGAAATGTTATCTGCCAATGTTAAAGCATGTTGAAGGAGAGGGATTTACCTTTATATCTATGTTTCTCTAGGAAGGAAGTATTTGGTATTTGGGTAACTTAGTACAACAATGCTAAGCACCATACACACAAACACACCAAAGCTGACTGGGAAGATTATTAACAACTACAACTATGATATTGTTTTTCCTCAAATTTTAAATTACTATACCTGATACTATGAACATTCTTATAGAAAGAGAAGAATTATGGCACCAAAACTGCTTTATTGAAAATGTCCATGAATGTATTCAGATTGTAATATGAGTCACTTTCCTGAGACATGGGAATTCAAAACCCATAAAATCAAGTGTAACCCACATGCTAAGAGGAACCTGCCCTTTTCTGAAATGTTGCTAGACAGGAGTTGAAGGAAGTGAGATGCCAGCTTAATCTCTCATATCAAGACCTAAACGTAGTTAAACACATCTGAAACTCTCATTTCCATTTCTCAAACTTGCAAGGTTTCTGACATAAACTTCTGTTTGGAATAGATTACACAGCAGTTTGTAATAGATTGGGTCGTCCATGGTAGGTTTTTGAATTAAGAAAGATAAAACCAGTCAAGATTTATTTATCCGTTCGTTCGTTCGTTCGTTCGTTCATTCATTCGTTCGTTCGTTCATTCATTCAACTTCTATTGCTGCCTTTCTCAGTCAATGGGTGGCTTACAATTCAAAATATAACAATCTGAGCTGTGAAATATCTTAGCGTCTTGAGAAGGTTTTTAAAACTCTCTTCACAGTAAGAACAGCTCTCAAGTTCTTTAAATGTTATCGACAGTGAAAATATTAAGAGCTGAAAAGTCCTCACTCTTCCTCAACTGTTCCATTATCAGATCATCTACAGCTAATTTGTACAATAACAGGTGAAAAACTAGAGCTGAGCAATAGAGCAGAAGTGATCACTTGGAAAAACAGTAAATACACATTTTTTTCGTCTACTGTCTCTTCATCTCTGATGGAGAACAAGATGGAATAAAGACCCAGAATGTCCACGTTCAATGAACTTTTTGAATAGGAGTGAGTTCTTCCTCCCATTCTTAAAAGGGCTCACTTTTTTCTACATCTAATGAAAAAACACAGTAGTAGCTGGTGTTTGTGGGAAATATGCCCCAAAAGTTATTTAAGAAATAAGGCTACTCCGAGATGTGCAGAAGAAACAAGTGTCTTGAAGATCCTTTCTATGTAAAAAATCAGACTAAAACATTGTAGAGGTGAGAAGGACAGTATAACTCTACATTAGAACCTGAGCTACAGACCATCCTGTTCCTTCCTAAATGCCACCCATTGCCTTGACAATTCATGCAAACAGAGGCCTTGTCTTTGACTCTTTGTATCCTCAAAAAGAGTACAATGTCCTGCTCGATTTTTGTACCATTGTGACTTGCCCAGTTCTGTGGTGAGAGTCCTCCTCTGAGGACAGTCCCAGTTTGGTCCCTAAGAAAATATAGATCTCAGACACAAAATAACATATGGTTACACAAACACACACACACACACACACACACACACACACACACACACCATTTCTGGAATGTCCAAAAGCTATTGCTTCTTTATTAAGAAAATGTGCAGTAGATAGACCCAATGACATTTAATATATCAGGAAAGAAAAAGAAGCCTGACCGTGTTTTAGATTATTGTTTTCTTTCGTTGTTTGTTTTTGAACACTTGACCCAAGCTTTCTGACATTTGTGTTTGTCAAAACATGTATTTGTTTCTGTCTGAATTACTTAGTAGAGTGCATACAGACATACAGATGAGAAATCAACATCCCTGCAGTCCTGCAGAGGACTCCTAACAATATATACAGCATATGGTCCACTCCACTGTGCACGTGGCACGGGCACACACATACACACACTCCCACACAGGCATCCCTTACAGAGTTAGTATGTGTTTGCGAACGGAGCACTAAACGGAGCAGGTGAGGCAATAATGCAGGGTAGGAAGGGAGAACAAGCATTACCATTTTGAAAAAAGAGTGGCATCATTCTGGTGATAGCTGGAAAGTCATATGGGATGTTCAAGGTGCTCAGTCTCACACAACATGCAATGGTGGTTGAAACTTACACACAGATGTCTTCTGGTTCATGTCTTTACTTGGCATCAGTTTCACTCCCCGGGACTTAATCTCCATTTGCTTTTTGACTGAAAAGGGAATGCAAGAGAAGAAGATTCAACAAAAGCAGAAGCTACAAGAAAAGAAGGCATTTCGCCTGACCAGTTAATTCTAAGATTATTTGGAAAGCCAATTTATGTTTCCAGAAGAAACAAAGCACTGGGGGACTTCTCTTGTTCTTCTTTGCAATATATATATATATATATTTATTTGTTCGATTTCTATGGCCACCCATCTCGGTCAATGACTTGCCAGTTAACAAAAAAGTTCACTGATTGACCAGTTTGCCATCTCTCCAAGCAACACCAACAAATCACTTTCCTATAAATCAACCATGAAAGTTCCCCATTAAACACAACAAGGTGTAGGGTGAAATGTTATCACTGATGCACCATTTCAGAACATATAACATATTTAAATATTAAAAAAGCAAGCACCACATTGAATATTAAATATTAAAAATATTATTTTATTATTTTACTCTCTCTCTCACACACACATGCATCAACATACATATATTTCCAATAGTTTTCTTTTACCTTTGACACCATGGTGCCCCTCATTTGCCTAAACACATGCAATCCTCCATACATTAAGATGTGCAAAATCTTGAGATCTCTCTAGATCTGATCAATGAAACGTAAGAAGCTACCGACACTAATATTAGCTATGATGAGACCGTGACATTCACATTTGATTTGCAGTGGGTTGCTTGAGTGAGCTCCATCAAATATTATGGAATTTAGCAAATCTTGGGAATAAGAGCTAATTGGGGGAAAGTAATTAAAATGGATCACAAAATAGAAGCTAAGGATTGAAATGGCTACCAACTCTGGCTTTCTGAAAAAGTTTGGAAAGGTGACTTGAGTGGAAAGTGGAAGGATCAAGAATAATCAGTCCTCAAATACCTATAACTTCAACCTCTATTGTTTGCTTTTGAAATGTCAAATATTTGTCTTTCGTAAGGATAGAAAAGTAAGAAGTAATGCCTTTAAAATAATCAGAAGTCTTTTAAAAAAATAACAATAAGACATTTGTTCTTAATCCTTTATATATCCTCTGGCACTTCCACTTCTTGGAAACTTATATTTTATAGCAAACACTTAAATATTATGTCGGTGGGGGGAAAAATGCTGTTTACCAAAATCACTGGGTTACAACTTTCTGACATTTGCCTTAATCAGAGAGGAAATTACAGCAAAAATCTTTACTTCACATTATTTTTTTTAAACTTTTTTTTTTGAAGGCATGATTCAAGCAGGTGTATTTTTAATAGCACAGCAGTAATCATGACTGATTTCTCTCTCCTTTTTTTTTTTAACTCAACAACATCCTGTCTACAAGGCGATGCTCAGCTGAAAGTTTATGACTCAATAGCTCAACATATTAAATGTGAAAGATGATTCATAAAGTTCCTAATCCGATCGGCTTGACTATTAGAGGAGGGAGATGAGAACATGGACTGAATTAATACATATCTGTATTCAACAGGACAAAGTAACACCGGGGGTCTGTAAAATGTCATTTTGGGCAATAACCACACTCATCCTTGTAAGACGCACCACAGGAGCTGCCTTCCGTAAAATGACATAAAAAGGGGAGTATGAATAAAACCTAAATTTGATTTAGTTATATATTGTTAATATGTTTCTCCGAGCTTTGGAGTGTGTGTGTGGGGGGGTGTATGTGCAAAAGAAGCTATGTGTACACCAAGAGACTTTTAGGGGAGTGTGTGCCCAGTGTCCCAGCTTGTGCAAATAGTGGGATCCTTTTCAAGTATGATTCAGATTTTGAAGTCAGATGAAGCCAGGATTGTGAGCAGGATCTTGTTGCTTTCGTCAGAAAGATAGAAGCATCATTATGGCATTATGCTGTAAGCTCTGCCCATTGTCAGCATGCGTGCAGAATTGGAACACACATACAAAGTGGTGAAGCTTGTGTTGTGAGGCTGCAGTGCTGCTCTCATCAGTCTGATCTCAGTCATTACCCCCGCCCGTAGATGAGGCTGGAGCCATGTTTTTCCTTCAAACCAATTTAGGAAATCAGCTATACATACATACATACATACATACATACATACATACATACATACATACATACATACATACATACAGGGGGGGAGCAGGAATTATTTCAGAATTTTAGACTTCCTAACACACTGCTGCTTATTGAATCATGGGCTTTTAATGGCCAAAAAAAAAGTATTGGAGGAAAAAAAAGGATCGACGGAGGAAATAATGAGAACGGGGAGTTTCAAATCTTACAGTCTAAGGATAGGAAGGGACCTTTGAGATCATCTATCACAGCATGGACAACAAAAGCCTTTCTTTAATCAATGAAGTAGACATTGATTTATTTTTGGAATTCTTTGTCTTTCACATATGGAGTATGCTTCATCCCTTTTGTTGTTTGTATGTACACTGAAAGCTTATGCACCGGAGACAAATTCCTTGTGTGTCCAATCACACTTGGCCAATAAAGAATTCCATTCCATCTTGTTCCCCAGACCACCTTGAACATCATATTTTCCATGTTGGGCTCTAATCTGCATTGGATGACCTAAATGCTAGTTTGTTAGCAGCTGAAAGTAATGGTATTGTACAATAATTCAAAGCCCCTATTAACTCTCTTTTCTTTGGTACTGGTGTTTGATACCTGTTGATTCCTGTGTCTTTCATTTTCTCCCAGAATGCCATTATTATTTATTCTCTGACACAGAACTGGAAGCAAGTAAACTTGATGCAATTATATACTGGCTGTATCAAAATGACTTACACGTGCATAAATGTCAAACTGAATTACTCTCTTTTCAAGAATGCAGTAGCAAAACACAGTGTAGGAGGAAGTGGTACGATATTAGAAATAGGCTGGGGAGGGGGGGAAGTGTATCTGATGAGTATTTTTAAGGAAACCAACAAAATTTGCAGTATCCAACTAATGGATTGGGATGACTGTTATTTTTTAACCGCACATTTCTCTTGAGTTTTGAAATGCAGTTTTTGTTCCAAAAATTACGTACATAATGTGAGTATTAGGAAGGATGTGTACAAATGATTATTATTTATATCCCATCTCTCAGTTGTACGAGGGGAAAAGTGCATGCCGTTTTCCTATATTATTAAGTCACCAACCGCATCCACTGAGTGAGAATAAAGCTGCTGGAATAGCAATTTCTCCTGCTGACATTTGTACAGTTTGTCCCAATATTTTAGCCAATGCACATGAGAAACACAGAGAGGGAAAATAATTAGGATAGAAAATTGCCATGTGCATCCGCAATCCATTTTAGGAATTACTGTAGTTGAAACACATTTTGAAAGGGGCAGCTTTAGAGGCTAGTCAGGATCCTGCAGCTTACCCTGGTATTGTGCATTGAAACCCTTCTGTCTGTGGTTCCCATCTGACAGAAAGTGGAGACGAAGCCAATTTTTGCTGCTGATTACAGGAGCAGGAAGATTTGTTCCTGTAAACCTGCAAAAAGAAAAAAAAAGAGAAGCTAACAGAAACAGTCAAAGACATTTTTTTTTTAAAAAAAGAGTTCTCCTCTATGAAGATGCGTAAGGAACTCCTACTGCAACCACATGTTTCAAATGCCCTTGAGATGCAAATCAAACTGGTTTATGCAGCCTGTTATTTACCCACATAGAAATACTTGCAATACAGGTATACACTTGTAATATAAAAGAAGCAAAAAATTAAACCCAATGGCGATTTTTGTTGTTGTTGTTAGTTGCGAAATCATGTCCGACCCATCGCCACCCCATGGACAACATTCCTCCAGGCCTTCTTGCCCTCTACCATCTTCTGGAGTCCATTTAAGATCACACCTATTGCTTCAGTGACTCCATCCAGCCACCTCATTCTCTGTCGTCCCCTTCTTCTCTTGCCCTCCATCTTTCCCAGAATTAGGCTCTTCTCCAGTGAGTCCTTCCTTCTCATTAGGTGGCCAAAGTACTTGAGTTTCAACTTCAGGATCTGGCCTTCTAAAGAGCAGTCGGGGTTGATCTCCTTTAGGACTGACCGGTTTGATCGCCTTGCAGTCCAGGGGACTCGCAGGAGTCTTCTCCAGCACCATAGTTCAAAGGCCTCCATTCTTTGGCGCTCAGCCTTTCTTATGGTCCAACTTTCACATACATACATTGCAACTGGGAAAACCATGGCCTTGACTATACGTACTTTTGTTGGCAGGGTGATGTCTCTGCTTTTTATCTAATTTTTGTGGCTAGGTTAGTGCTCCATCCAGGTAAAATGGCCTCCCCACTTCAAAAGCACAGAAATTAAACTGCTTATTAATGTTTAATAATAATAATACAGTTGGAAGGGACCTTGGAGGTCATCGAGTCCAACCCCCTGCCCAGGCAGGAAACCCTACACCATTTCGGACAAATGGCCATCCAGTCTCTTCTTAAAAACTTCCAGTGTTGGAGCATTCACCGCTTCTGGAGGCAGGTTGTTCCACTGGTTAATTGTTCTAACTGTTGCCAGCGACAATGAGAATGCTGCCCCTGCTATCTTGTCCTATCACTAGAGGACTTTCTGGGAAGACATGATGGTTAGCAACAACAAAGGGAGAGAAAAAAAGTGTGTGTAATGCTTCCCAAAATGTCCACAGTGATCTTCCTTCTTTTCATCTAGAATGGATGGTACATCCCGCTCAGATGAATTTCAACATCAGGGGTGTTTGTGTGCCTGTTTGTGTGTGTGGGGTGTGTGTGTGTGTAGGGTGTGCCCTTGAATCAGCCTTGACTGCTGGTGATTGCCTGCAGAAATGCCCAGAGTTCTTATGTTGAAAATTTCATTAGTGGTTTGCCATTGTCTGCTTCCTAGGGCTGAGGATCACTCAGCTGGTTTTGTGTCTAAGGCAGGATAGAATTCAGAATCTCTTCGTATCTAGCCTGCTGTTTTCATCACTGGTTCTCTATTAAATTAACATTAGAAACATTAGCTAGCTTAGCATTAGTAGTGTTAGACACTTTAACTTTAAAAGAGATGCCAGAAAAAATGTTAATGGTGTTTCCATAATTTATACTTCATATTTTAATTTTGAATAGCAGTCATCCATCCTTTCTACAAGGTTTATCTAAGAAAAGAGTTTGTCACTCTTTCTAGGAATTGAGAACAGCCAATTACTCAGAAAACTGGAGGGCAAACAATTCTGTAAATCTGCTCTTATTTTATCACCACCTTAGTAAATATTTAACAGAATTTAATCTAATTAATCTCCACCACCCACTATTTTCCTGCAAGTGATACTGAATACATAGTAATGAGAAAAAAATGAGAAAAAAAAACAATTACACAAATAAAGAACTACACAACAATCTACAATTTTGTCTGTGGAGATTCTCGGTCATCCAGGTCATGGCTGTCCCAAAGATGCTTTTTCAATAGGCAACTGGACTTCGTTTTTTCTTGAAATTGTTCGGAACTGAAGAAGCTTCTTGGATGAGAAGTAAAACATTTTCAAGAAAATCAAAGTCCAGTTGTCTTTTGAAAAAGCATCTTTGGGACAATCTACAATTTTAAAATACTTAAAAGTTCTACAGTAAAAGTCTAGGGGGAAAAAGGGATTATCCTCACAGTGTTGTCAGCCTTCAAATAAAAAAAATGGCTTCTGGTACTAAAGAATCCTTATTACTTTTTCAAGAAGTATGTCCAATTCCGATCTACATCTAAACCAATATAAACCAATATATATATATATATATATATATATTCAGGTCATGAATGCCAGAATGAACAGCTCAAGAACAGCTCAAGATGGTTATTCTGAGAGCAGAGAACACATCTTTCTTGAACAAGTGTGCAAATAAAAAACAACAACAATCTCATAAAATATCATCAGAGAGGCCATAAAAACTCAGCTAAACATTTGTCATGGATCAATTTGGGAGCTCTGAAATGGCAATGGGAATTTCTAAGCACTGTACGGCATTCACTCCCTATTTATGAATCCAATTTAAAAAAGGAGCTCTTCTATTAACACGTGTGATACTATTCTTTTTCAAAAATTAAATTTCAGGGAATAATTGGAGAGGAAAGGAAAATGTCTTGGACAAATCATTATGGATCCTATCAGAAACAAATGTTTACCTAATATTCACAGACACCGCTGAAAATGGGAATATATGAGAGCAAAATTAATGGCCTTAACTAGAGCAGTTGAAACAACATTAACATGATAAGAGCTATTATAGAATCCAATTACTTTTAACCAAAGTCCATTTCAGACATTTTATTAGAGACAGCGTCACATTAGTTATCAGCTATTTGCCTTCTGAGAACAGTTCTATTTTGTAAGAGTAGAATTAAAAAGGAGGAGTTTGCAAAGATGATAATGATGGAAAGAAATGTCCTATATATTCTCCTTTTGAATAGAATGTCATAATTCTATTGCTATTATTACTATTGTAACCATCACGTTGGTCTTTGTTAGATTTATATCCTGTGAATTCTTCAGGACCACAAGGTAATTAAATAGAGCTCTACCATCCTTTATTCCACAATACTCCTGTGAGGAAAGCTGGAGATTCTCCGTCATCCAGGTCATGGTTGTCCCAAAGATGCTTTTTCATGAGGCAATTGGACTTTCTCCTGATGACACAGATAAATCTCCAGGTGGCCTCAACGACTCTCTAAAAGAGTGCAAATGACCAGCTGTCTGCAAGGAGTATACATCCTTCCATTCTCCACCATCCAGTCAGAGCTGAAGAAGCTTCTGGGATGAGAAGCGACACATCTTCAAAAAAGCATCTTTGGTTACTTTTATAGAGAACCCTTTCTATTAATCTTAGAAAATATGCTAACTCAGCCTACCTTCTAAGGTTTACTGGGAGACAGAGCGGATCTAATACAAGTAATCCTCAACATGAGCCCAAAAATTCTGTTGCTAAGTGAGACATTTGTTAAGTGACTTTTGCTCCATTTTACAACCTTCCTTGTCTCAGTTATTAAGTGAATCACTGCAATTGTTCAGTTAGTATTAATACCACTTTACAAGGCCTTGGTAAGGCCACACTTGGAATACTGCATCCACTTTTGGTCACCGCGATGTAAAAAAGATGTTGAGACTCTAGAAAGAGTACAGAAGAGAGCAACAAAGATGATCAGGGGACTGGAGGCTAAAGCATATAAGGAAAGGCTGCTGGAATTGGGTATGTCTAGTTTAATGAAGAGAAGGAAGAGGGGAGACATGATAGCAGTGTTCCAATATCTCAGGGGTTGCCCCAAAGAAGAGGGAGTCAAGCTATTCTCCAAAGCGCCTGAAGGCAGGACAAGAAGCAACGGATGGAAACGAATCAAGGAGAGAAGCAACCTAGAACTAAGGAGAAACTTCCTGACAGTTGGAACAATTAACCAGTAGAACAACCTGCCTCCAGAAGCACTGAATGCTCCAACACTGGAAGTTTTTAAGAAGAGACTGGACACTCATTTGTCCGAAATGGTACAGGGTTTCCTGCCTGAGTAGGGGGTTGGACTAGATGACCTCCAAGGTACCTTCCAACTTTATTATTATTATTATTATTATTATTATTATTATTATTATTATTATTATTATTATTATTATTATTATTATTATTATTATTATTATTATTATACATTTTTGACAGTAAAAGAGATGGGTACAGGCATACTGAAACACAACTTTTTCATGAGGTCTTACTGGTGAGAAAAGCCACATAAGAACTGAACCACATGTATGAACGCACATCATTCTGAGATTCTAAGATCATATTGATTTTGGTTCTTATCATTTTTTAATGAATGTGGTTAATGGGTGATAATTAGTTGCATGTCACCCATTTTGACAAACTAATGATGTGAGAAGCAGGAAAAATGTAAAAATAAAGACACAAAATCACCTTAAAGAGGTTGAAGAAATTTGACCAGTGGGAAATCTGGTGCAAATTGAACTGATCTATACTTTCCTGATCCACGTGTAAATGTGCACAGAATTAGATTTTGCACTTCTCTAATTTTTTCACGCAGTTCACAGTCCTTGGCTTACAAAAAAAAGGAAATAGAGAAATCTGATTTAGATAGATAACCTTTATTGTTATTTTTTACTCTGCACACAATGGCACACATTAAAAATGAAATTTAGTTGCTTGCTCTCAAAGTGTACACATACATAACACACATTTAAACATACTATATACAACATATGTATAGACCTACACCCTTACATATAAGTAACTTATAAATATTAATCACTGTCCATCTTGAATACATAATGGGAGGAGGAAGCTTTAGGGTTCAATTTAAAAGTAAGCGTGTTGTAGAAAATGCATTTCTGAACATATATATACACACAAGGAGAAACACTTTAATGAGTTTTTGTGTAAAGTGTATTTCTGTGTGATGAACTAAAATATAAAAATATAAAAGACAGATATATAACTAAGTATACACATGTATACCCAGACACACAGACACACAAATATGAACACTACCAATCATGTACCATTTCC